CTAATTTGCTTTTGGGCTGGACATGCTGGTGCACCGCCCTTTAGCCAAAAGTCTCTCACCTTCTATGCAATTTTTTTCAGCTGCAGTCAGATGTGATGCAAGTTGGATAAATCCCAGAAAGTACAATTAAAGTGTGCTGTGTCGTCGACTGTTTCTGAGGGTTGCATGCAAAATGACATTTCGTATTGTTGTACCCAGTTCTGAAGCTCATGTACAGAGTCGTCACCGGACTCACACGGCGTGCCTTGAGAACGCATCCGGTTGTAGTGAATCATTTTCGCGTCCAGCCAAGGCACGCGGATTCCTTCGCCTCAGATGCCAATGTCTCGCTCGCTTGCTTTTGCCTTCGTGCTGAAGGTGGCCTCGTCATTGAAAACACAACACTTTTCAAAGTTTCCTTTCGATTTAGGTTTTCAACCGATCTTGAAGCCCGCACAAATCACAGATTTTCGGGCCTAACTCAAAAACGTTATCGTTTGTTGAGTTTGTTGTGGTCCACAGCATGTGGTCTTGAGCCACGCCGGAGCCACGGAATTAACTCTGGCCCGATTACGCTTCCTTGATATCTGCGATGAAGAACAGGACCGGAGATGACGTGGACACAACCGTTTACATCAGAGCTCAACCAGAATTGGTATCGCTGTGTCATGTGTGTGGTTTGCGCGTGTGTATTTATACCTCGGATGTGTGAGTCAATCATGCGCTAACATCTAGACCTAGGTGTGAGGATAATCCAGGATAAGGGGCCGTGAGAATGAGGGGGGAGTTGAGGATCCGCGCGGCTGGCGACACCCTACTAAAAGGGGGAGCCCTGTGTCGAAGGGTGGAGCGACTGGATTAACGAGTGTGAATCAACGCTATTCACAACAAGTTTAAAGGCTTGTCTTTCGTCTGTTCTGGAGTTAAACCCCACGTGAATCGGTACTGCCATCTATTCAAAAACCACTAACTATCCAGATCGCTTTCTCCAACATCAGCAAATACCCTCTTGAGCGTTGCGCACTCACATTTACCCAAACCGTATTTTTTCTGCACCAAACGAAATGTCTGAATTGATGTAAGATCAAACATGAGATGCCCGCTTTTGGTAAAAAAAATGTTTTCCGGTACGATGGTGTCATATCTTCCAGCAACGTTCATTATTATTTCTACTCGTAAACCCGTTTTAAATGTGTTGCACTGGTCACAAGCATTGCCTGAGGATTCGATGGTGTGCTAGGATGAACAGTGTCTGAATAATTTAAAGCTAGCGTTTTCAGAGCCCCCTACGCCCACCTAAACGTCATATCAACTCTCCCAATGGACAGGGGAACGAGCACTCACGCAAATTTGAGTATGTGATAATAACACTCGCTCAATTCTCACAGATTAGAGAAACACGTTGCAAACTGGTTATGGAGGGAGCTGGAGGAGGCCACGCCAAAGTTGATTTGATTGTGCTTCATCTCAGCTTCACTAATAGCCGCAAACTTTGTTGGTGCTACCGAGGCAAAGGGTGCATGTTCGTGCAGGTACACACGACGACAATCCTCCTCCACGTTAGTGGATCTGTGCTCCACGAATGCAGCTTTAAGCACACCCTAGTAGGGTCACCTAACTTGTTTTAAATTAAATGATTTCTGTTCAATTTGTTTTCGGCTGAAGCTGATAAATTTCAGAAATCCTTAATGAACCACCGAAGATGCCTTTAGTTTAATTCAGTTCAAAAGTGCGAAGAAATTTTAGAATGAAAAGAACGTGGTTTGGTGCCCAATCGAGGACGTCTGACACAGTAACAATGCACTTTGGTCACCTCTGGATCTGCACCACAGTGAAATGGAGGCGCAACGGACTAGGTGTTGTCCCTTGGGTCTCGGCGTGGATGAACAACGATTTGCTTGATCACACTTCGACTGAGCTGACTTCTTCACTATCCAGTAGAAAGTTACTTGACCGTCTTCATTTCGCCGTTGAACGTTCACCACCAATACTACAGTTCTCTCTCGAATTCACTGAACTGTCGTGTCAGACAGCTTTCCGAAAAGCATTCGTCTTTTTTTCCGTAATTTTAAAGTAACAAGGAATTCGCTGGGTTAGTTCTGCAAGCGTGAGTTGGCCGTACAAATGAACTCTTTCAGTGGGATGATTTTGAAGTCAGCATTTGGCTAAATTATGGATGTTCACGTGAGAAAACAGATTCAACGCGAAGTACGCGACGAAGAAATAAGACGGAGGGGGGAGGCCCAACCAAGTCATTTTTGTGCGTCGCGTGAGATGACTAATGGAAGCGGGTTTGTTGACGTACAAGCGACTGAACGGCCAAAGGCATGACATGAATAGCAGGTAGGGGGAGGGGCGCGTGAGTTGACAAGTCCGCAAGACTGTGGGACTGTGAAAAGTGTGGGTGGTGTGGCTGGGCATGCGGCAAAATGGCCGTGAATCAACACGAACAACTATGCTGAAGCGCTTAGAGGCTTGAAGTTGTGGGTGTTGCAATTTTGGCAGAACAGACTGTGGGTTCAAATTGTGCTCAGGTCATGGGACGAGGAAACATTGCAGCGGGTTAACAGCGATCGCGCCTGAGTGATCCCTGTTTACTTACCTGGCGGTGCCAATGACTTATCCCCTTTGCGTTGGTATCTGCTGTCAGACGCTCGTTATTCGCTCACTCATCGACATACCAAGATTTTGGCTGGCGTGACGCTAATAAACGGTCGTGTCCTCTGTCGCCTCTTCTCAACCCCTCTTTGTGGGCCATAACGGGCTGCTGACTAGAGGGTTGCAAGGTAGTGTTAACTAGGTCAGTACAACATCACGCAGATGCTAGATCTGAAAGATCAAAAAAACTTTTAGAGGGATCACTAAAACAGGAGACAGGTGGGATCTCTTGGAAAGTGTGAGCAAAGCATCATGACAACCATTGATTTAAGGCTGCAGGGTGGAACTCTCATCCACCCCCTGTCCGATCCGAAACGAAGTATCAAAAGACGAGTGAGAAGAGTCACAACCGTTCACTGGACCCCTGAAGATGGATATTGGTGAATCGTGTTGGTTCGTACGTTTTCGCAGTTGTGCTCGTGGGGGGGGGGTCGAGTGCCTGTGACCTTGGTGGACACAGAAATAGGGTCATTTCAATCAGAAAGCCATCCGCAAGAGTGAACAAACATGGAGGCTGCTCGCGCGTGACGCGTTACCCACGATCGTGAATTAACCAGAATCACCTCAGTAGGAATGACTTGATTGTCATTTCGATCGATCGTGTGTCGGAGTTTCTGAACAATCGGCAGGTAGCGGGAGTAGGTGACGCGAACGCACGACGACACGGGCGAATTCCGCTGGTGGTACTGGGGAAGCTATTGCTTATTATGCGGTGAATTCATGCATTTCTTGACTCGAAAAAAGAACGAAGTGTCGAATTTCGAATTTGGTTCCATCGTATTGAAGTTGAATGATAGTCATGAGAAACAGAGTTCACAAATTGAAGCGTTGGCCTCCTTGTATTGTGATCCCTAGTCCTTTAAAAATGTGGATCCTAACGTGTTTGATTCCTTCGCAGAATTTAAGCCACTGTTCATTAGTTCTCGGTTTCACAATAACTTGTTGTGGGCCTTGGCACGTGGTCTTGAACCACGCCGGGGCCACGGAACTAACCCTGGCCCGATTACGCTTCCCTGATACCCGCGATGAAGAAAAAAGACCGCAGAGGACGTGGACACAACCGTTTACCTCCGAGTTCAACCACAATGGTGTCGTTGTGTCGTGTGTGGGGTTTGTGCGTGTGTATTTATACCTCAGATGTGTTAGTCATACATGCGACAAGCTGCGAAAAGGGGAACCCTGTGTCGGAGGTGGAGCGACCAGATTAAGGGGTGTGAATAAACACGTTTCACAACAAATTCAACTTCTAAAGTGATAAATGCAACCATGATACAGGCCGATTAACCTTTTGTCTTCTAAACACCTCGCAATTCAACTCCCAGTCGCACAAGCAGTAAATTAACAATTATCAGTAAATGCAATTTTGTGTTCTCACTTGTCTCCCTAGGACACCTCAATTTTTTACTAAAGCCGTCCATCTGGAGAATGTTACCTGACCTTGACCCCTGGAGGGTAATTCGAATTAGACCAATCTTGTACGATTCACTGAAAGTATTCGTCGGACACTTAACATCCAAGTACTCGTAAATGCCATTCCACTCTCCGTAATGCGTGGTGTTGTCATTTTGTTTTGATTTTGGTAATAACAAAAACCAAACGCGCATTTGTTGGTGCGTAATTTGACCTGCGACCTCCCGAGAGAGAGTGAGTGATAGCGCAGACCTGAGGACGTGGAGTCGCGTAGTTACCTGATCAGCGTCCACAATTCCAGCGCCTCACAAATTCACCATCGCAGGTCGCAGCAAGACGTACGTTCTCCTTGTTTTAAAACTCCTGCTGTTTTTTTTCTTCTTGTTTAATTTTTTGTACAATAGAAGATTAAGATAGCACAAATTTAAGGCAAAAGCCTTACCATTATAAGCTGGTAGATAAATGGCATTCGTCACCAATCATGGATTTAAGTGCAAGTCTTTGTTTCTTCATTCACGTCAAGGGAAATGCATCAGCTGCACATCTCCATAACTTATATGGCGTAGGCATTTCGCCCTCGAATGTAGAAAATTTAGAAGGAAAATAATGACACAACTGGTAGCTTGAAACAGCTTATCACAATTGATGTCAGAAGGTTTTCAACTGGGCTGTTAGGTCAAGAAAACGGGGAACTACCAAAGGTGAAAACACTTGAACCCATCAGTCAATCGTCGGCAGAATGAAGCACGTTGTGGCAAACTTGCCATGGAATGGGAACCCAATTAAAACGGAAGTGCTGATCATGAAGAGGGATAAGACGGATAGCAGCAAGTCTCCTCTTATCCCCCCTCAGCAACATGACTCGAGCACAAACTGTCTCCATGTAAAAATGCGGTAAAATCTATTAAGGAAGGCCTCCAATTGATGTCTTTACACTTCAGGCAGGAAAAGATATGCACCGAGGAATGAATACTCTCGGCAACTCCTCGGGGAACAGCGTCCACGGTCGCCAACACCACCAACACCCGCAGCAGTTCTACTCTCCGGCGCAGCAGGGCAATCCCAACTGGACAGCAACTACCCAGTTCGTAAATCGCGCGAAACAAACGGCGCTGCAGCAGTGCGGCAACCACCAGCTGGCTGCGTTGTTTGCGTCGCCTCCCGGCGGCCAGGGCTGCAGAAGTGGGACCCCGGAGGGCTTCATGCGACCCCCCTTTCCGGCTGCTCGCATGGCACCCGGGCTGCAGCCGGCCCAACAGCAGCAGCCGAAATTGGCCTGCCAGTGTTCCATTTGTGGTGAGGGCGGAGGGAACCCGTTTCAGGGCGTCGGACCCTTCAACCAAGAACCGCAACAGCCGCGCGGTGGCGGCGTGATGACGTTTACGTCGCATCTGACCGGCCTGCCGATTCCTGAACACCCTTCCGGGGTTTTCCCTTCGATCGACTACGTCATGGTGCCTCCGGGCGCTGGCTCAAACACAAGTGGCGGTGGAGGAGGAGGCGTAGGAGGAGGCGCGTACGGGTGCAACTGCTCGCAGTGCGCTGGGGGTGGCAGCGGTGGCGCTGCAGGGCCCGCCTTCACGCGGGGACCGCAGCAGTGTGGATGGAATGGACCGCAAGACATCTGTGGATTTCGCTGTGGTAACCATGGCCAACAGATGAATGCCCTATTTTAAATGGGCCATCTTTCCTGTGTGCTTTAATTCGACGTTAAATAATAGTATGTAATACAAATAAGCGGTTAAGAATCATTGCTCCAACATTGTTGAGTTGTGCTATTCAAACTGAACGGTGAGGGGTCGCACATTATATTCGGATTCTCACTAACCATGTTGAATTTTAATGCCTATCGTCTACTGTCAACCCTTTCGTCGAATCAATCGCTAATGCGGCCGGTAAGATCCTTCTATTGGGGCTGAGTTTTCACAAGGATAATTACATTCGCTCTTAATCTTCTCTAGCAATAAAGTGGTTATGTATCGTCTGTTTTTGTGCGTCCTTACTACAGGTATTGAAATATCTGGGGTGAATTGATTGGGAATGCTCGTGTCAGATTTTCATAGATGGCAGAAACAATGACTTGTGGGTGTGCTGATATTTCTTTTATTATCACTATTCTAACTGACAGTTATCTAAATGTGTCGTGAGTCAATGTATCCCCCAAATAAGTAGGTTTCGACTGATTTGTGCACATGATTGACGTTATGTGAAGTGAATTAAAAAAAGGAAGGAATGGGTTTTGAAATTGCAATCGTCATAATACTCCACATATTACCAATAAATCGATTTTTGTGGAACTAATTGTTGGCAAATTGACTGCATTTTGCCACTCAATTCACCTCGAAACCGTCACACTTGGCAGAACGGAACAAAGTGAACCCTGTTTCCACACCCATTTCCCACCTCCTCCGTCAAAAAGTCATAATTCTAGATAAAAACATTTTATTTATAGCAGCAAATGAAATTCTGGAGGTAGGGCTGAATCTATGGCAAAGGCAAAGACAGGATTTTACGAGCTCTTGCCACGGCACCAAACAAAAACTATGACAACTCGAGACCACAAGTTGCTAAAAAAATCAACAGAAATTACAGCGGGCCATCCGGTGTACCCACGACTTTCTCTCCTTAGAATTTCATCCGCTTTGTTCTGTGATTGCGTAATTTAAGTGGCAAAAAGGTGATTCCATGGAAGCTGACAATAACTGCCTTCCTGTTAAAACTCTCGGTTTTTTGCAAAGAAGGAAATCAAAATATTGCAAAAAGTTAGGACATAGTTTAGAGAATTAGAGGAGAGTACAATGCTGCTCATTAACAATGATTTTTCTTGGAAATTTATTGTGGTTAAGTTGATTTTGGATTGCATAGAATATTTGATAGCAGTCGAGTCAGTCGAAAATGCGTGCAGTATTTAGTAGCAAGACATGCCTACTTAGGTTTCACGAAAATCCGTTCGCGTGACTGCCAAGGAAGAAGAATTTGTAAATAAGTTTCTTATTCTCCCATACAATCGATTTTTCGACTCAAAAACCTTCAGTAATTGTAAATTTTTGGGTGATTTTGAGTACGGTGGAAAGACAACATTTTCTCTTCCCCAAAACAGTCTCATTAATGTAAGTTATAATGCGAATCCTATTTCTTTACTCTTAAATAATAGATTAAAAGGTGTGATTTAGAGTCAAACAATCTGTTGGGTTGCATCGCCTGAAGCCAGACCACTGCTGAAGGTGACGTTGTCTGCAAGAAGACAGGGTTCACTGGACGTTCTCTTCCTCCACGCCATGGCGATCGTCGACAGTCGATTGAGGAAAGGCGACCTCCTGTCCCCACTCCCCTTCCGATAGACGTAAATGATGATTCCGAGGAAAAGGGCTGTCAGAGAGAGAGTCAGGAAGACGTAGGGGAAGGCTGGTCTACCGGAGATGGCACGCGGACACGAGGGAACCTCACAGTAATCCCAGTTGAAGGGATCCACGTAGCAGAATGCGCGGTCACGAAGGCCGCTGGGGTTACGACACCAGTTCGAGGCGGCGGAAAAAGTCGGTTGAAAGGCTGGCGAGTAGAGGTTCTGGGAGGGCGTCTGACTTGAATTCTCGGCCAGTGTCTGAGCAACGATCTTGAGCGTGGCCAAACGAAATGCCTCCGCGAGAGATGAAAATTCGTTACTGTCAGTTGGCGACACGAGGTCCCATCGAATGCATCTACAAATCACAAATCTGTGTTGCATAAAGTAACCCCACAGCCCATTCATCCAGTAAGCTGCTTCTCTGACAAAACCGGCGATATGTGTACACACACTGGCTAAAGTAGATTTTGTACGTCTAGGAAATTTGCAATCAGGCATAATTATTCCAGAATTCGTACAATTAACCAACCCAGTTAAACCCTTATGAACGACTAGACAAATAGCGTTTTGAGAGAGGTGGCAGGGTTTACCAATTACCCCAAGTCTACCATTTTGGAAAATCAATAGTAGTTATGCTTACGGTTTTCCTGTGGCAGTTTCAGCTAAGAATCCCGCGTAGTCCCGTTGATCAGGTGTTTGAGAGCATTCAACAGGAGGTTCCGTGTCGGGAACACGTTGGCGTCCACCCGCAAATGCTGACGGTTCTGTCTCACACAGAGGCGACAGCTGTCTGGAACAGTCGGCAACTACCATATCCAGCTCATAGCTCGTCAGTGAGATTGACTACAACAACAACACAAACAGCGTTAACGTGTTTTCGTGAATCCCACCACAGATCCCCGGTGTCGCACACTCAGAAACCCTTTTTTTGATCTGGGAGCAAAACTAAGCGTGCATTCGTGTTGTCAGTTTGCTTGTCGGCTGAATGCAGTGGGGTGCGCACTCACCTTGGCAAAAGCAAAGCAGGTTTCCGTGGATGAGTCAGTGAGGTTGCTTGGCTGCGCCGACCAGCGGGTGTGGGTCACCGGCAGCCCATTGGCCCACCTCCACGTCGACTCGGCTTTTCCGCTAAGCCTGAGGCCTATCCAATGCGGCGTTGACTCCCATGGTGGCACGCCTAAAACAGTGGTTTCGCTTCGTTACCAATAGCTAGCCTTTTGTTTAATCCAATCACAAGTGGTGAAGAACACTGTATTCGACGTGGGTTTGTTTGACTTAATCATGAACAGCTGTGGCGCGTTCTTGTTATTCGAATCACAAGTACTTAAACGGTATTGGCTAGACGACGATTTGAGTTATGAAAGACGAGTAGCATGCACTGACACAAGTAGGATCAATGTTTTGAGGATAGCTAGAACGCCAGAGTAGCATTAGAGAAATAGACTGTGGGAGTAAAGGCTAACTCAAGAAGACTAAAGTACAGTGTGAGGTTCTGCCACTAGCTGCTGCACAAACTATCGGAATCGTAGTTCGATAATCTGCCTTTCGCATGCTAAAGAGCATTTCAATTTTGAGCGTGCAACTTCAATCAGAAGTCACGAATAGCCATCACTTGTGTAATTAAATCTTGGCAGTCCTATTCGACAGGGATCTAGATCTTCCAAGAATAAAATTGAAGTTAGGTTGTGTGGATTTTTTAGTTCTTGTGATTATAGAATGTCTATTTGATCAAGCAGACACCAGCGTGTTCATCCGCTGAGCGTGATTGTGTGTGTCTCGATCAATAAGCCAAATTCAATACATTGGGTTGACAACTAATTCACTCATTAAATGGAATACAGTTATTGGCATTGGTATTGGTATTTTGTATTGGCATCATTGGTATTTGTCACTTCTATTCAATGTCACCAGATTTTTTGAAGAGCATGGTAAAAAATAATCCCGGATTTACATCAAACCAATCAGTCAACCTTACCAAAATCGAATGAAACTGCATTCGAATTGGTTGCTAGTGATCCGAAAAAATGTGAATATGATGGAGCCAAGGCAAGATTTCCAATTGAGAGTTCAGACTGATGCTTTTGTCATGTTTGCAACGCGATAATGGGCATTATCGTGTTGTAAAATGGCGACATAAGTGGACGAATTCGATTTTCTCTACCGCATCGACTGTGTCGACATCCGCAATAATGCCACCGGTTGTTAAAAGCACCAATCACTTGTTCCTTACCCCAAAACGAAAATCACCACCCGGCCTTCTGAGCAATTAACACGTGGCCAATGGTAGCGACGTTCGTGAGTCGTTCAAGCATCGACCACCTGTGCCTGAGCTGATGACTATTGATTGGTGGCACGAGTGAACACCCCTGGATGTACCGCGCAAAATAAGTTATAAAAAAGGTGTGTACCGGAGGTGGTGTGGTCGGAGGGAAGGTGGGCGCGCATCCAGGCCACAGAGAAGGGCGTGCTGAGTGAGGCCAAGTGGGCCCCCTGGTCTGCGGACGCGCACTTCTTAGCCGCCTCCTCGTACGACCCCGTCCAGCCCCGTATGAACTTGTAACAGTGGTCACCTACAATAACGCGGATGTGAAGAGGAAGATTATAAAAAAAAACTATAACGACTCGAAGGTGGATGGGTTCCTGCGAGCTGGCTTGGTTTCAACCTGCCTGATTTTATTGTAGTGTAAAGCAAATGAGTCCTGACATGATACACCGTTTGAGGTGTCAGAAGGTCACTGATATTCACACTTAACTTTTGTAAGTAGAGGTACTCAGAGCATGCCTGCAACACCCGCCTGCATGCCTTTTAAGTGCTTCTTTGTCACGCGACTTTGTAGTCCTATAAATCACAATGGAAGTCTTGACACAACTGTTCACTGTTCACAGCGCGTGGTATCCAAATGAGACAGGCAGGCTGTTTGATAGCGACTACTGAAAGTCGAGAGAAAATGTTGGTGAGATTTGGCAGATCCAGTGCGCTTCACCGCTGTCTTCATGCTAAGTTCCACTAAGGCGACTCTAAACACTGACTAGGGCTTATCCGAAAAGACATCGGTTTCGAATAACACACCGGGTGTGTGGGAGTTCAAACTAGGTAATGCCTGTTGGTGAGGTTCAGGTGAAGTGCGGCGCGGATTAATTACACGGATTCGGGTAAAGTGCACAGGCTGATTGACAAGTCAGCAGAACATGCACTAATAAAGGCTTCTTAAATGCTCACCAGTTGCGGAATGATGAGCGGCGAAGCCGCGGGGACAGGTTGATGGAGCGGTCGCCACACTCAGAAGCATATTTTCTGGTGGTTGGAAAGAGCACACGAACGGCAGCCGTTTGTTGCAACCGACGTCGGAGGAGAGCGTCCCGAAGTGGTCACCCTCAGGCACCCCCATTATGGATATGCACACCGGCGACTCGTCCGTGGCTGGCACCTGTGTTGAGAGGTTAACCAATAAGCAGCCGGCTCTCAAGGTAGCCAAATGCTACATCTAAGCATTGTCAACAGATAGGCGTGGTTTAGGGTCACCATCAAAACCCGCTTATCCAAGGCTAGAGCGAGGTCCAGTGGCTACACATGATTGGCTGAAACAGATGTCGATAATTTGATCATTAACGCATTGTGTCCTACAAAGTATTCTACTCAAACAAATACCTAGGAGTTTAGTTTAATGCATAAAAATTAAACGGGTAATTTGATCCCAGTTTTTTTAGCATTTTCTGCCCACACCTAACTGACGCTATTCACCAATCAAACAAGCGAATTCTGATAGGTCAAATCCCATTGGCTGTCGGTGGACCAAATGATGTTTTGCTGATAGCCAGTAAGTAAACAATCGCATTTTCGCACTATTTTAGAGTCACAAGTAAGAGCAGAAACCAGCCAATCACTGTCCAATAGAACGCCAAATAAATAGTGCGAGTGAAGATGACCTTACCCGGATAAGCTCATGCGCTATGTAGCAGGGGAATCGTTCGTTCACCGCGTGGTAAGCGTGCCGATAGTTGAAGAGACCGATCCAGTGGTACCGACGCCAGATTGCCTCGAGGCGGGAGTTTTCTGGGGAAACGCTCCCTTCCGCGGTGGGAGTCTCAGGTAAGTTGGGGAGATGAGACAGCAGGCTAGCGGCAAACACTAGAGAATGAACGGCTTATCAAGGTGGTTGTTAAACCACAGATTTCTGTGGTTATCTGGAAACAAAAATCACTTATGGGCCTGTGAGCGGTTAAGCAGAAAATATGAAAGCAGCTACCCGGCAACAATTAAGTACACTATAGGTGAATGGGGCAAATTACGGCATGTGATTGCATGATTCGTGACTTGTTGCCTTCAGCAGTAAAAACGCACATTTCTTTCTACTTATTCAATAAATAGTAGTGGTTATATTAGCATTTGTGCCGAATACACAATCCATCCAGTCATGTGTGGCAGGAAAAATATCAGCACTATGTTGTGCAGACTTACGTTGGTCAGCATCTGAACGCAAGATGGCAAGTCCGGCGTCGCCATTTCGTGAGTAGGGAGAGCCGATTTCGTGGCAGTAAGTTTGGGCCTCTGCGAAAGTCATGAACTTGTCGCTGATGGCCTAAGACAGGGAGGTAAGTAGCGTCAGTGCACACCTGATCGGCAACAGGCGGTGGGATTAGCTCTAGGCAATGTTGAGTTGCTCGTTAGAAATGGCACTTTCCCACATGGAGGCCTAAACAGCTCACGAATTCACACGAAGTCCCACTGCTCGTTGTCAGTAGCAGTTGGAAGCTCCTCACAACTGCGTAGCCTCGTTCTGGTGCAAAAAGTGAGCGTGGTGATTCAATTTGGTGCGATGCGGTTGCATTGGCTAACAATGCGCTGAAAGCAGGCCACAGCACCGACATGCACTGCGACAACGTTGGGACACACACAAATTGGGATACCTTAACCTCAAATTTGACTGGTTCTGCTGCCTCCCAGTGTCGTTTTCACTGCACGCCTTTGCCACCAAATATTTGACACTTGGAAAAAAGTGCATTCGGTCTACTCCACTGGTCCAACGAAACGCTGCAGGCAGTATGGACAGGCTGTTGGCAAGAGGACGAGCTGTGAACTCCGATCTGGGCTGGAGTCGGACGTTTCGTTGAGTCTGCAACGCGCGGCGACTAGCATGCGTGTTGTACTTCTCGAGCACGCATCCAAACTGCAAGTATTTCCTGTTGGGTACCCATGGTTGGGGATGAAAATTACCCAACTGTGTGCTGGAGAAGAATGCAGCATTAGGAGGATCTTTGAAGACGAGGTGGTGGCGGTGGTGTGGTGGCGGTGGTGGTGGGGTGGTGGCGGTGGTG